TTAAAAATACAACAACTGTTCTTTTTTTCTTTCTTTTTTTTCCGTCAGGGTAAAAAAGGAAAAACGAATGGACGCAAAAGTATAGAGACCAAAAAGTTTGTCAGCAGTGTGTTTTTTTTTGTATTTATTTGCTATTGCAGTTTTTTTTAATATTACATTTTTTTTAAATATATTTTGTTTTCTTTTTAAAGTACTTTAAATGTTAGTACTTCAGCTTTATTTTAATTAACAAAAACATTTTAATAGTTTAATGTTTTTGTGACCTGCCCTATATGACCTGCCGTTCCTTAAATGTTAGGATTTATTAGTAAAGCAAAATTACTAAAAACATGAATAAAACGGTGAAGTGCACAGTGCTTTCCATATTCACCACCTTGTCTTTACTACAAATAATCTATAACAATTATTGTAATTTCCCCGTAGACGACGATTATTATGAGGATGATGATGAGGAGGATCCAGATGTTCTGAAGGACCCCATTTATCAAATTGACCTTCAGGTAAGTTATTTGGCATTGTCTCTGAAGTATTACTGTAACCATACTTCACATCACTGCTCCTGTCTCCATGTTTTTTTCCATAGGCGTACCTGACAGATTTCCTTACCCAGTTTGCTCAGCAGCCTTGCTATAGCATGTTTTCAAGCCACATGAATGAAGTAGAGAGAAGAGTCTTGCAGTCCATCGGTATATGACCTGTATCCCCCACCCAACATTGGCTCCTTGTCCTTTGTTTCCGTCTTTATCACTCAGTCATCTTTTCTTCAAACATTCGAGTGGACTCGTAATGCCTTTCAGACAACGCTCTTGATCCACAACCCAAAAGAGGACTTAAAGGTTTACGGGCCTCTCCTTGTGCTTTATTAAGGGAAGGAATGGGCATTGATTCCCGGGGATATTATAAGAGCAGGGCATGAGGGGCAGCTTCTTAGCATCCCAGACAGGACTGTGTGGGTGCATTTGAATTGGATGTCAAAACACTACTGTGCTTTGATAGACCTGTCTAGTATGATGAAAAATATTTTAGCAAAGGGACTGGTAACAGTGAAGAAATGATTTAAAAGTGTCATCTATCCGTTTGTACCTTCTCACTTTACTAAATCACGATGGTTACAGAATCTATCTGTGGAGGAAGGAAAAAGACTTCTGACAGATGATGAATCTACACTTTGAAAAGAAGTTGGAACTGTTGGTGGCCTTATTAAAGTTATCCATGTTGTTTGTCATTATGTGGTCTCATGAGCATGATCTTTAGGGCTACACTGTGGGGTGAGCATGAAGAATAATATAGTGTTACCATAGTGATCCTACAATCTTATCAGCATGGTCTCCATTGAGGTATGAGAAGAATTTCATAATAAAAGGGCTGAATTTTAAGTGTCTATATTCAAAATTAAGTTTTTGCAGATTTAGACTTAGATTTTTTTGCAAAAAATGTTAGTGTCCGTACATTGCCATTGACATTTAACTGATTTGATTATGCACATGCAAATAGCTATTTTAATTTTATATATTACGGTACATAGGATATATATATTATGCTACTACGCATTGTTTTGCTAACAAATGTGGCCTCAGTTTTGTTTTAAAAAATACATTTAATAACTAAATTAAGATTTAGGAAAATATGGACTTCATTATTCAATTATTTACAGATTTATTTTCAAATAGTTTAAATTATAAAGTTGACTCATTTAAGTTGTATATTTTAAAACTACTTTGATTTGTAGTAAAATAATATGGGAATATTTTATCAAAGTTTCAGTTAGAGGTGATGAAACAATATACTACAATACTCCTAGAGCTCCCGTCTAGGTATCACAACACTTTATGTATGTATATACACTATATGGACAAAAGTATTGTGACACCCCCTTCTAATGAACAGGTTTGACTCCATGAGTACACATTTTAATGTTAAAGCATATAATGATATTCTAGGGCAGGGTTCCTCAAATCTTGCCCTGGAGGTCCAATGCGCTGCAGAGTTTAGCTCCAACCCTGATCAAACTCATCTACCTGTGATTTTCTAATGATCCTGAAGACATTGATTAGTATGCTCAGGTGTGTTTGGATCTCGTGGGCCAGATTTGAGGATCCCTGTTCTAGGGAATTGTGTGCTTCTAAATTTATAATAACAGTTTGAACAAGACCCTTTTCTATTCTAACATGACAATGCCTGTGTATAAAGCAAGGTTCAAAAAGAAATGTTGGATTCAGTCAGTGTGGAAGAACTTGACTGGTCTGCAGAAAGCTATGTCCTAATCTTAGTTGAACACCTCTGGTGTGAGTGTGTCTTTAAATGCAAACCTTGAGCCAAAACTTATCACCAAACACCAATACATATGAGTACATATGGGTGCAGTCATTTTAGACACTTACAAACCTTTTGCAACAGAGTGTGTGCGTGCAGTGGTGTATAAAGTCAAGTCAAGTCACCTTTATTTATATAGCGCTTTTAACAATACAGATTGTGTCAAAGCAACTGAACAGCATTAATTAGGAAAATAGTGTGTCAATAATGCAAAATGACAATAGTAAACACTCATTTTTCAGTTAAAGTCAGTTAATTATTGAATTCAGTGATGTCATCCAGCTCAGTTCAGTATAAATAGTGTCTGTGCAATCTAGTCGACGATATCGCTGGAAATGAAGTGTCCCCAACTAAGCAAGCCAGAGGCGACAGCGGCAAGGAACCAAAACTCCATCGGTGACAAGCAACTTTACAGCCAATTAAGTTTCTACAATATTTAGTGGTAGTTTATCAGTGGTGACTGTCAGTTAATGTACATATGGCAGAAATGTACGGAAAAATCAACTTAAGACGTAATAAAACAGACGATGAGCACTATTAACAGCAATTATTATATGATGCAATCAAACTTATAGCAATATGTGGTAGTTCTGTATGTTGTTTCAGGGTTGGCATCATCTCTTCTCAGGTGTTCTGGATCCAGACTGAAGCTTGTGTCAATCCTAGTTATCCCGTGGCAAAAAAACAGAGAAACAAATAGACATAATTAGTGTAGCTGAATTCTAGCTGAATTCTAGCTGAAAAAGAGAATTCTTTAAGAAACATTAAAAATCTTGCAGTTCAAAAACCTTTGACTGGTAGTGTAGGCTGATTATTCTTATAGATTGAAACGTGCATTAACCAGGATAACGAGTATGAAACATGCTCCGAGTTGCTTCAGAAAACAAAAAAATAGAGCAACAACAAAAGCATGTTGCTGGAAATGGGTTTATTATTGAAAGTGCAAACTGCTTGTCTGCCAGCAGGAGGCGCTGTGAGAGCGGTGGAACTAGCGGTTTCTCCAGTAATGGCTGTAAACATGAACGTTACTTTATCAGATAAAAATGCCATCTAAACTATTCTGAAGATAGTCGGTTCCCTTCAGAGATGCATTCATATAAAACACTCGCGATGCATTTTGATTTTGAAACGTGCAGTGCTCATGTTTATTCAACGAACTCAAACGCCACAAATAAATCAATGTATGGGAAACACTGGTAATGTATATCGAAATACCGGAAATGTTTAAAAATCATATCACCGTTATTGAAAAAAATTATATCGCGATACATATTGATATATTGTCCAGCCCTAATTCAGGCTACACATTTTTATACCAGTGTGTGTGTTCTCTGGGAATCAAACCCACGACCTTTTGCAATGCTCTACCACTGAGCCACAGAACATAAAGTAATGTTTTGTTTTTGAAATGTCAAATTAAAACCGCCAGTAGGTGGCAGCAAGTGACTGTTAATGAGTGAGTCATTGAGATTCAACCGATTCGTTCAAACGGCTGATTCATTCAGGAACAAAGTATTTAACTGTGTTAATGAGTGAATCACTGAATCATTTATTCAACCGATTCGTTCAAAAAGCTGATTCATTCAATAAGTAAACACCGTGACGCAAAACAGTGCCGTGATCTTTGTTTGGAACTATTTTCGTTGGCAAAATTGAGCAAAAACAAGCAACATTATGTCTAAAATGTAAGTCAATTATTGCTAACTTTACTGATCTTGTATAAAACGATTGTTATATTTGTTATCATGCTAATATGTGCAGAAAAACGGTACTCTGTGTGATATAGATTAAGTTAACTATATTAAATTATATAAATATAAAAAGCATACAGAAGCATTTTTCCCAGCTACAATTTAGAATGCCTTGAATTTTGAGTTTTAATAGACTAATAAAATCACGTGCATGCACTCTGTGTGTGTGATTTGGCGATAGATAATGTCAGATCGCACATCACAACACTTACCATATTATCCCAGAAGATATCATGTGGAAAATTAAATCATCCGGCTTGTGCGCGCGCTTGTTGTGTTTTTTCGGAGTCTAACTTGCAGACGCCAGACCACTGATTCGTCAAACCTGCTTTCCTGCAGTCCGTGTTCTTCTGACTTCTGACTATTTTGTAGTAAGTAACGAATATGCTTCGGGGAAATGTATCGGAGTAAAAGTATACATTTTAATTAGGAAATGTAGTGGAGTAAAAGTAAAAGTTGGCTGAAATATAAAAACTCAAGTAAAGTAACGTTACAGATATTCCCAAAAAATACTTAAGTACTGTAACGAAGTATTATTACTGTGTGTGTGTGTGTGTGTGTGTGTGTGTGTGCATGTTTATGTGGTTTATGAGGACACAAATTTGTATAATAACATGGGTATGACAGGTATTACAACGAGAATGTGATTTATGAGGACATTTTCAGTGTCCCCGTAATTCAAAAGGCTTTCTGCAAAACACTGCAGAAAGTTTCCTGTGAGGAGTAGGTTTAGGGTTGGTGTAGGGCAATAGAAAATACGGTTTGTACAGTATAAAAACCATTACGCCAATGGAGAGTCCCCATACACCATAAAAACAAACCTGTGTGTGTGTGTGTGTAAATTTGCGGAATACATTTCATTAACTGTAACATAGCCCTCATTCTTTCAGAAAAGATACAGTGTATTCTCTACATATAATGTGAATGAGTGTATTTATTATCTCCAGAAATGTGAACTATTCAGAGGGGCCGAGGCGCGCTGCTACAGGAGCCCACGGGTTCCATTTTTCCTCGTGGAATTTCGCGCGTCTGTGGGCAATCTCCTGAATAATTCCATCATTTGCCTTCTTAATTTACACGCATTCTATGCGTTGTCCTGGCGAAATGAACGTCCTTTGATTTATTTCATCAATGAGGAGGCTGGTACTGGAGGTGTAGCGTCACGGGCGGTGTGTCATTCCACACAGATCGCATGTTGATCCGGAGCTCCGCTATCTGCGAGACGTGGCAGATTATATCATTTTAAGGCCTTGTTTCAAAGGATGCAGATGTAACCGTTTTTGTCTGGTGTAAGGAAAAGTGTACTGGAAGCAGGATGTCCTTCTACGCCGTCATTATACCGGTCCTTTATGTTATTTTCTCTGCTTGGCAGGGTAAGACGATATTGTAGTTTCTTCATAGGCCTCATTGCTGCAAACATGTACTTAGAAACATGCTTCTGTTTATGTTGTGTTATCGTCATCAGCGAGAAAAGCATTATATTACTCAGATGCCATGTAACAGCTCTTATCTAATGCAATTTATATATACATAGCTGCCATGTAATTAACACGGCTATAAACCAGAATATGTCATTTCTATAGCAACAGCTCTCAAACCCCTCAGATGTGTAAGTTCACATGAGGCTGCGGTTGTTGTTCTTCTGCATTCTGTATAGGTAGGTCATTCACCGCAGAGCAGTAACTGAAACGTAATCCAAGAGCTGAGAACTTGAAGCAGGTGGTTAACTGACCTACATATAAGATGCTGCAACTGAAGATGAAAACAAAGATGCAATTTCTGCTAAAAACTGTCTTTAGATGTTTTAAGAGGTTTTTACTCAAAATAATTGTAAGAAATGACTTTCTCAGCGGCACTTGAGTCATTATTTTGGGTTAATTAAGTGAGCGCCTCCGGATTTAAATAATCATGAATTAATGATTAATGTACTGATGAATTAATGTGCTCATAGTGCATTAATTGCCCCTCGTATCTATTTAGGTTTTTGTTAATGTTAATGTTCAGTATTAACATTTAAATGTGTGTGTGTGTGTGTGTGTGTGTGTATACATTCAATTTATTATGTAATAACAGATTCCAATATGTGTTTTATTTATTAATGCATATTACATTACTAAATGTTCCCGATCCTCAAATATTATATTAAAATTTATGATGAAACCATTTTTTACCAGATTTTTTTTATGTTAATGCTGTTAATTTGTAGGCCAACCTACAATTATTATATTATTTTATTTTATAACTGTAATTTCCGTGTTTTATAGGATTTGGCATCACCTTCAGAATCTGATATCCAATATTTGTTAGTATTTTGATATTTATAACCACCAGTTTTGTTTTATTTCTTTTAGTGAGTGCAAATGAGGACTGCTTGTGGTACGTGGACAAAAATGGCACCTGGCATAATGGCTTTGATTGCCCGCTCATAACCTTCTGCTGTGGGAACTGTCACCGCCGTTACTGCTGCCTGGATGGCTTTAAGATGATCACCGAGGCGGGACAGAAGCGCTGCATGCTGTTCCATCTTAGGTACACTTTTCAAGATTCTAGATTATTGACCACTTAGTGGCCTAGAGAGGCTCATTAACCTCACATTAGACTACTATATAAATAAAACTAATTTGTTTTTAAAGATAGCTGAGCAAAAGTATGACTGTTATAAAAGAAGTGCTGATCTTAATGGTAAAGGTGCTAATTGCTAGACCTAACAGAAAGTGTTTTATTTTACATTTATTCATTTAGCAGATGCTTTTGTCCAAAGTCATTTTTCTGTGAGTTGCTCCCAGAGAAGTCAGATCAGATTGGTGTTGGATAAGATCAGTGAAGTTTTCTGTCCTGCCTCTCTCAGCCCTTCCACTATAGCTGGCATTGCTTCATCGATCCTGCTCTTTGTGGCTGCTATAGCAACCATGGTCTGTTGCTTCATGTGTTCCTGTTGTTACCTGTACCAGCGTCGCCAGCAACGTGGCAGAACTCCTTATGAAGGTAAATGCAATTACTTTATTCTCTTCACAGTCCACTGTGAATTTACTACAAATACATATGATATGAATTCAAAATAAACAAAGAAAAAATCTGTATTACATGTCATATTTAGCATGTATTTGAATTTATTTTTTCGTTTTGCTGTTGGATTGTTGTTATTGCATGATATACAACAACTATATCATGTAAGTACATCCAATCTTACCTGGATATATACAGTACACTCACATAAAGCTGGATATAATATCAAGCAAAACTGGAAAAGGAAAAGGAAACTGTTTTATATTACATCAATATACTTAAAGTTCGATATATAAAATGTAAAGTGTATTATCGCACAGCTGTATTTGTAAAGTTGAATAGTCCAACTTTTTCCATATACTGTGTACATACAGTGCACTCACATTATATACTATATAGCAAATCACAACTGCTTGATTGTTCATATCATGCAACTATATTATCGCCCAGTTCTAATCTGATAAATGTGGCTATAAGGCATGAAGTTAATAAGAATTGTCATGTTTTTCTAAAACAATGTGTATTGTTAAAGCATTAAATAAAAATAAATTTGACTTGACTTATTTCTCTTTCTAGTATTACAATTGCATTGCTCTTTGTTAGCATACTTATTTAACCACTGGCTTTCTATTGCAATACCATGGCTAATGTTCAAAATGCTTGTTTGTATGAACTTATTCTTACAAAGAATAAAAATCATCACCTACTAACGCAAGTCTCAATTTTTTAGCCCAGCATATTCCAATGGCCAGCTATCCTGTGGAGCACATGTACGATGCTTCTGGTAAACCCATTGGACATCCTGATTATCCTGGATATCCAATGGTGCCGCAATATCCAGGTGTCCCCCACCATTATCCTATGATGCCCCAGGCTCCTTATCCTCCCAATCCTCCTGACGCAGGATACAGTCAAGCAGGTATTCAAATGGCCTCTGTCAGAGATCACATACTACACTCTTAAAAACAAAGGTAGCAAAAGGGGGTTTCACAGTAATTCAATAGAAGAGCTTTTTTGGGTTTCCCAAAGAAGCTTTCAGCGAACAGATCTTAAAAGAACCATTTTTTCTTAGTGTCAGGAACATTTTAATAATCTGAAGTTCCCTTTTCCACATTAAAGGATTAGTTAACTTCCAGAATAAAAAAGTCCTGGTAATTTACTCACCCCCATGTCATCCAAGTTGTTCATGTCTTTCTTTATTCATTTGAAAAGGAATTAAGGTGTTTGAGGAAAACATTCCAGGATTGTTCTCCATATAGTGGACTTCAATGGGACCCAATGGGTTGAAGCTTCAAAAGGGCTACACACTATCCCAGCCAAAGAGTAACATTCTTATCTAGTGAAACGATCGGTCATTTTCTAAAAAATAAATTAAAATATATATACTTTTTAACCACAAATGCTGGTCTTGCACTAGCTCGACTTCATGCATTATGTAGCTACATTGGAAAGGTCTCGCGTGACTTAGGCAGAAGTACCGACCCAGTGTTTACAAAGCAAACATGCAAAGAAAGTCAAATGCCCTTTACAAAAACGGTACAGTGGTGGTCAACATGATTAGAACACTAGTATTTTCACCAGCTAAAAAATGGTTTTAAGTGAACTATTTCTATCTTTTGCTGTAGTGTGTCAGTAAGAAATATCAGTTTACATTTTGATATTTGATATTACATGATATACATGTACGAGGAGTCTGACAACAGCCAGTGCTCCACACAGAGATCTGATCTCATCTGTGGCAATTTCTCCAAGATGCTTCAATAGATCTACCTGTAAAGCTACCTGAAAAACTATGCGCAAGTGCACCTAGGGCAAAAGCTGCTTTAAACGCAAAGGATGGTCACACCAAATGTTGATTTAATTTAGTTAATAGAAGTTCATTGATAAAGAAAAGCAATTTGACATTATTTTTGACAGCATCCTCATTTACAGCATTTTTACACAGGTGCCTAAAACTTTTAACAGTAGTGTAACTTTGCAGGTAGGTTTCTTGAAGCATCTTGAAAACGTTGCCACAGTTCTTCTGGATTTAGTCTGTCTCAGTTTGTTCTGTTAAGACCCTTATTCCTCGGCTGGGAACATGTAGAGCCCTTTGAAGCTGCATTGGAACCCGTTGGGTCCCACTGAAGTCCACTATATGGAGAAAAATCTTGGAATGTTTTCCTCAAAAACCTTAATTTCTTTTCGTCTGTAGAAAGAAAGACATGAACATCTTGGATGACATGGGGGGTGAGTAAATCATCAGGAAATTTTTATTCCAGAAGTGAACTAATCCTTTAAAGAACCTTTCGTGCAGTGGAACGGTTTCATGGATGTTGGAAGTTCTTCATGGAACCATCGATACAAATTTAATAATGCTGTCAAACGATTAATCGCTATTAATCACATTCAAACTAAAAGTTTTTGTTTACATAATATATGTGTTTTCTGTGTATATTTAATATGTATATATAAATACACACACATACAGTATATATTTTGAAAATATTTACATATCTATATATTCATATAATTTATATTATAAATAAATATATTGAATATATTAGCATTAACTTATTTTTCTGAAATATATACATGCATGTGTGTGTATTTATATATACATAAATATACACAGCACACATACTGTACATACAGTATCTAGTATCACCGTCAGCACCGTCTATCGCGGCAAGCCTACATTGGACCCCAATAACTTTCATTGATTGGAGTATGTAAAAAGTGAAGTGAATCAGAAAACATGGAACTATTCACTCTGAGTGAGTGCACTTAATATTTGTTGGGCTGAACGAAAAGGAAATGCACTCTAGTATTATCCACCTTATTTTTTAACACAAGAGGCACGGCGATTTTACTTTGAATGTGCAGGGCTTCCCGTGTCAGCTGTTTCTGGCTACTCGAGCTGTACAAAACCAGTTTGTTACACTGCTTGAAATTGTCGACTGGTATTTGTTATCATAATTGTTTCATTTATTATTATAATTATAAACACACTGTTTTGTTGTGCAAATAGTTTACCGCACTTTGTTATTTTTGTATTTATTAACCTATTGGCTAATTCAAAGGAAATACCATAATCCTGCACTGAAAAATCAGATGGATAGGTAGCACAACACAACTTTTGGCTGGCCTGCCATCCACAGTAAACTGTAAAGGGGAAAAGAAAGCCAAACAATACTAACTAATTACAAAGAGCTGTTGAACAAAAGACAAAGAGTAAGTAATTTAAACGTTATCTGATGGTTTGCAAACTGACCTAAAAGAAAATACCATGTCCATATTTAATTGATGCTCTGAATTTGTCCTCATTTTGTGTCCGGTGTTGGTGAGCAAAATAGCTTTTGGTACATTAGTGCAACAAATGTGCTGGAGTAACCAAGAGGTCAAGGTCTGGCTGGTTAGCATGATCTGTAGGTAATGCAATGTGTTGACACATTATGTCAATTTGATTCTTGGTGAATATGATTACATTTAAATGACTAATGTTTTACATATGCAAAATAACAACTTACACAATTTGTTTAACTCTGTGTCTGCATGCATGTACTTTATATTCTATTTGTCTGTGTGAGGGTGTGGGGTTAGATGAGTGTCGTATTCATAAGTAAATCCATCTGTTTATACTAAAATTCAAATTCACGCAAAAACGTACAAAATTGTTTAAACTCACATATGATTCAAACACACACACACACAAATACTTAGAATAAACTTTGTAAAGCAACACATACTCAAATTAAACAAATTTGTGTTCGTATAAACACTTGGTTTAAAACAAGATGCTCAGTCAAAAACACTGTCATCAAATCTAAAACATGCGGCAAATTTAAGGCATGATGAGTATGTGATAATGTCTGCAAAAGAGGAAGAGAAAGCAGACTGAGAAAAAGTGAGATGTGGGGATGTTGAGGGGGATTCTGGGAGTTTCGTACTGATGTTTTGATTTTGTTTTGACTGGAAAATGTAGAAACCATGTTTAATATCATGTGAGACCACACACTACATCATAGCATCAGTTGACATTCCTCACTGCAGAACATCAATCAGTGATCATGAGATTATCTAGCCTCTTCTAATAATGGGGTTATACACAGCATAGTAAACTGTCTTGACTAGAAAAGCATTTTCTAGTGTTCCCTTTTTTATTTTAATTTTTTTGTGCAAAGGACAAAGTGTTGTTTTGTTTTAGTTCAACATAATCAAATGGAAGTAAACTTTGCCAATCTCAGCTACAAAATACAAGCATAAAGTCCAGGACTGCTCTGGTTCATGACATCTTGTTTCTTCTGAAATCATCCTAATTATATGGCAATAAAGCAAGGTAATTTACATTGATATCTATAAATATGACCACAGCAGCTGACTGTCTACATGATAAGCACATGTAAACAAAACAAATAGAGATTCATTTTAACAAACCAATGCAAACAGTTCCAAACAGTGTCAAAGCACAATCCACTGCTGTCACTGAGCAACACACACCAGTTTTGTTTCATTAATGAATGAATAGGAAAAGTGTTTTGAACAAATCATTTGAGTGAACAATTCAATGATTCACTCATAAAAAGACAGTGGCTAAATTCAAGATATACAGTATCTCACAGAAGTGAGTACACCCCTCACATTTTTGTAAATATTTTATTATATCTTTTCATGTGACAACACTGAAGAAATGACACTTTGCTATAATGTAAAGTAGTGAGTGTACAGCTTGTATAACAGTGTAAATTTGCTGTCCCCTCGAAATAACTCAACACACAGCCATTAATGTCTAAACCGTTGGCCACAAAAGTGAGTACACCCCTAAGTGAAAATGTCCAAATTGGGCCCAAAGTGTCAATATTTTGTGCGCCTTAACCCTCTTGGGCATGGAGTTCACCAGAGCTTCACAGGTTGCCACTGGAGTCCTCTTCCACTCCTCCATGACGACATCACGGAGCTGGTGGATGTTAGAGACCTTGCGCTCCTCCACCTTCCGTTTGAGGATGCCCATGCTTGGCCAATCCATCACCTTTACCTTAGATTTTTTAGCAAGGCAGTGGTCGTCTTGGAGGTGTGTTTGGGGTAGTTATCATGTTGGAATACTGCCCTGCGGCCCAGTCTCGAAGGGAGGGGATCGATGCTCTGCTTCAGTATGTCACAGTACATGTTGGCATTCATGGTTCCTGAGCACTGACAGGCTGACCCCCCACCCCTTCAACCTCTGCAGCAATGCTGGCAGCACTCATACATCTATTTCCCAAACACAACCTCTGGATATGATGCTGAGCACGTGCACTCAACATCTTTGGTCGACCATGGTGAGGCCTGTTCTGAGTGGAACCTGTCTTGTTAAACCGCTGTATGGTCTTGGCCACCATGCTGCAGCTCAGTTTCAGGGTCTTGGCAATCTTCTTATAGCCTACGCCATCTTTATGTAGAGCAACAATTCTTTTTTTCAGATCTATTCAGAGTTCTTCGCCATGAGGTGCCATGTTGAACTTCCAGTGACCAGTATGAGAGAGTGAGAGCGATAACACCAAATTTAACACACCTGCTTCCCATTCACACCTGAGACCTTGTAACACTAATGAGTCACATAACACCGGGTAGAGAAAATGGCTAATTGGGCCCGATTTGGACATTTTCACTTAGGGGTGTACTCACTTTTGTGGCCAGCGGTTTAGATATTAATGGCTGTGTGTTGAGTTATTTTGAGGGGACAGCAAATTTACACTGTATGCATATGCTGTATGCACTGTATGCATATATATATACACTGCATGCATAAATATATATATATATATATATATATATCTTTACA